TATTATTTTCTGTATGTTCATTAGGGTACAACAAGCATAGCGGCGTCTTGATTTTCCAACTATTGGAAGATGATCCCCAACATTCAGGTGATTCTAAGTACTCTTTAACCCGGCAGTAATTTGTAAACATTTTAGTGGGAGACATATGTCTCGTTAGTAGTCAAAAGAGACTTTTCTTTGTTTTCGTTTGGTGTGATGATAATATTTCCAGTTTATGATGAATATTGATAGTCTGACGATCTTTAAAGAATCATGAAAATGGCAAAACGTCCGATAGGTAACTTTTGCATAATTATTTTGGTACATAATATTTGCTATTGTAATCACAGTTATTATATTTTATATCACACTTATTATTTTGCATCACACTACATTTTCTTCTATTTAAAAGATTGTGTATTATTTCTAAATTTTATGGTTTTTAGTAAAGAGAAATAAGACATATTCCGATTATTGATGTATAAAACATTAACATCCGCAAAGAAAGTGTAACATCCTTTAGGAAACTGAGAAATAGTAAAATCAAAGCTATATATTATGTTCATTTGACGAAAAAAAAATTTTTTTATTGATACGTCATTTCTTAAAATTTTTATAAAATATTAAATATTTTTAAGTAATATGTAAGGGATTATGAAGTTCTGTAGCAATAAAATCATTTGTAAAAATGGTAGAATTAAAGAGTTCGGCGACGTAAATTTAAATTTTAAGAAACTGTTCTTACTTGCATTAATGAAGCTTAAAAATCTTTGAAAATATTGAAGCTGTCTAAAATACAAGTATGCGAGACAGGGATGTTGTTTACTGTTTCAATAAATAGCGTAACTGAATTATTATAAGGTACGTAAATAAAACAATTTATTATATTATTTTCATAGAAAACCACGCTCAGTGTTAGAAATATGAATTTAAAATAAAGAACTTAATAATAATTTACAATAATAAACAAATGATTATTGTTATTTTTAGTAGAAAATACTAAATTGAACGTAATGGAAAATTTAAGAATACATTGTGATGTCGCAACCTTAGTCCCACTCATTTATGACATCACTAAGCTCCGCTTTTTCAGTTGTGTTTACATTTCTCTCTTGCATGGCTGCGGAAAGGCGGGTTTCTCACCAAATATTTTTTGCGATAACTTTTCGCCAAACCGGTGTGTCTGCCACATCTATTCCATTAATTTGATCGGTTTCTCTAAAAGTGCCGTTTGCACTTATACTAATTCCAGTTAACCTATCTCCAGCATTTCTTGTTCCAGTAAACATGGTAACAGTATGAGCAGCATTAGGATTAGATGGAATTCCAGTATTGATATTATTTAAACTACTTTTAATTATTCCAGTTTGAGGAGTATATTGAATCTAAGAAATATAACGTCCGGAAGCACCATCAGCTTCAAATTCTTCTAAATAGGACTAAAAAGTAGATCAGCCTCCAGTAGACGCAGCATTCTGACAGCTTACTGTATAATAACAGGGTATGCTAAACTGCTGAACAGGAGTTCAAGTTAGAAAGCTAGGATCAGTAGACGATACATACAAAGTACTTTCCATATCATTCCCTAAATTAATATTCGAAATTACTTCAAAATCTATTACAATCGTAGATTGGGAATTGTTATTAAAAGCCGCATGTTTAATCGAGTAGTATCGGTTAATTTCATACAATACACATTTTTTGTTATAATTCGTTGAAAAAAGGAGTTAAATACAACTGAAATTAAACGGGAGGCATACAATTTTTAAGGTCTTTCAATACCGCAAAGAAAATTTTAGTTTTTAGAGTAAATGTCTCCACATACAATTGGACATATAAGAGTCAAAGTACTGTCGAGCAATACTCCGGATGGCGTTTGTAACATCATTCAGCACTGCTCCATTGTTTATGACACAAATTAATATTGTGGTTGACTGTAAAATGTTCCAGGCCGGCATCCTAACGATCCTAACGATCCTAACGATGTTATAAGTTTACGAAATTTATATGATAACACGGAAACGCAGATCAGAAGCTTAGATTCTTTAGGAATTACAGGTGAATCATATGCAAATCTATTGACACCAATTTTAATGAAATTAATTTTAATCGCATTCAAGGCTACAAAGAATTTGACTTAAAAACTCTTTTGCAATTCATTAATAAAAAAATTCGAAGCCGCGAGATATCCTTTCCCATAAATAATTATAAATCATCGAATCAACGAGTGCATTTATGCTCCTCCCAAGAGAAAATAAAAAATAAAAATTATACTTCCGTTAGACATAACTCTTCGAGACCTCCGCATAAGAGGAATAATTCTTTCCCTCCCCACACACGCATGAATTCCTGGCGTCAGTCGAAGATGTAATGTGTTTATTTTGTAGCAAAGGTCATAAATCAGAATCGTGCTTTACATTTAATGCAAATGAACGGAGAGATATATTGACAAGAAACGAGGTCAATGTTTTCGTTGTTTGACCCCAAACCATCGAGTAAAAGAATGTGTTTGAAAAAGGATTTGTCCCATCTGCAGCAAACCTCACCATGTTTCAATTTGTTTTCGAAATCAAAATAATCCACACATTATTTCTCCAAAAGGGAGAACCGATAATGTCGTATCAGCGAATATCGTATCGGCGAAAAAGAATAGTATGTTACAAACATGTTCAACCTTAATTAATAATGGAAAAGAGCAGAAAATTGTTAGAATTTTCATGGACAATGGACACACCGCTCCTTTGTTTTATCAGCTATTTCCAAAAGATTTAACCTTCCAGTTGTTAGAAAGGAAAGCCTTTTAATTTGCACATTTGGTGCTAAGGAAACGGAAACAAAATCATTTAATGTAGTTAAACTTAAATTAAAAAATAGAGATGATCCAAATTTATGCATAGAAATTGAAGCACTTGGAGACAGAACATATTTCGGGTACACATTTACCGACTCCCGATAAAAATATTGAGAAACAATTTAGACGTTTAAAAAAATGTACAACTAGCGGACTGTTTTTATGAATTTAACAATAAAGAATAGAACATAAAGACTATCAATACTAATAGGTGCAGATTACTATTATAATACTGTCACTGGTCGAATTACACGCCTAAGCAAAACTCTCAAAATAATATTTGCAGTTGAAACATTATTTGGGTGGTGTTTGCAAGGCCGAAACACGAATTTAAATGAAACGTTTGCAATGAGTGTTATGGTAAACGAATCCAATATTTCCGATCAACTCAAGGAATTTTGGGAATTTAGAAAATTTGGGTATCGAGGCAGACATAGAAACTGACAGTAGCTGAAATAGAAAGCCACTGAGAAAGATATAATGAGTGAATTTGAATCCGAAATTACATATCAAAATAAGCGATGCAAAGTGAAACTGCCCTGGAAACCAAATATGAAGACATTATTAGAAAATAACGAGCAGATAGCAATGAAAAGATTTTTAAGATTGAAATCATCTTTTAAAAATGACCCTTCCTTATTTTGTGAATATAACACTGTTCTAAAGAATTATCTTGCGGACAATATTATTGAACCTGTCCCAGTTGATGAAGTAAATTTACGCCAAAATACATTTTATCTACCTCATCGAGCTGTAATACGTACGGATAATTACGCATTGTGTTGGATGTTTCGGCGCATGCAAAAGGTCAATTACCTTTGAACGATTGCTTATACACAGGACTTAATTTTATGCCTAACCTATTTCTTCTTTTGATCAGATTTAGAACGAATCCGATAGCATTTGTTGCAGATATTAAGATGGCTTTTCTCCAGATTGAAATAGATGAAAATGAACGAAACTACACCAGATTCTTCTGGGAAGAAGATCCAGGAACTGATGATGAAAACAAGAAATTGGAAATTTTTCGGATGACAAGGGTGTTATTTGGGGTGAGATCTAGCCCGTTCCTCCTTGCAGCCACAATCAAACATCACTTGAAAAGGTACGAAGATATATTTCTTCTGATTTCTAAGCATCTTAATGAATCATTGTACGTCGACGATTTTATTTGTGGGAAAATTACTGTTCAACAGGCTCTAAAGACTTGTAAAGAGAGTGTAGACATTCTAAAGGAGGCAAGCATGGACCTTCGAAAGTGGAGCACCAATTCTCCTGAGCTAAGTAAAGAATTAAAGAATTTAAACTTCAATGTAGATCAAGGTGAAGAGTCCTTAGATACAAAACTGATAGCTTCAAAAGTATTGGGAATTATTTGGGATGAACAAACTGACACGTTTTATTTCGATACCAGAAATCTGGAAACATTTCTTTCAAAAAGAACTAACACAAAAAGACACTTACTACAAGCAGTAGGTCGACTTTTCCATCCAGTAGGTTTTATAGGACCGTATACTATTAAGTAGGACCGTATACTATTAAGTACTTGATACAAGAAATTTGGTGTTTAGGATTAGACTGGGATGAAAAATTGCCCAAACAGTTATGAATTGCTTGGAATAAATGGTGCGATGAGATCCAAGATGTAAAGGAAATAATTATTCCCCGATATTATTTTCAAAATTCTTTGCCCAGTCATGCAATCACTATTCAATTACACTGTTTTTCAGATGCATCTATGAAAGCTTATGGTACTGTTGCGTACTTATACGCATAGAATTAAAGAGTGGAAAAATCATTTCTAGGTTTGTAGCATCAAGAGGCAGGGTGAGCTCCGTTAAAAACTCTTTCGATTCCTAGATTGGAACTCATGGGTGCACTTTTGTCTTCAAGATTGAGCAATAAAATTGTAACTGCACTAAGTTTTCCAGTTACTTCGATATTTTTGGAATAGATTCCTCAATAGCTTATTACTGGATTAAAAGGTGATCCAAATAGACATAAGGTGTTCGTGAAGAATAGAATAAAATAAATACAAAAATACAGCAATCCAGAAGAATGGCATCATTGTATAGGAAAGAATAATCCCTCCGATTTGATTTCTACGGGTTTATCCTTAAGCGAGCTCAAGAATAATCAGCTCTGGTGGCATGGACCCTGTTGGTTGACAATGAATAATACAGCATGGCCATCCTCCTTAGAATCAATGGAAGAAAGCGAAGTAGATGTCGATAAGTTAGAGTTTAAGAAGTCAGTTGTTGTAAATGCAACTGTTGAAAATAGCCAAAATGAAAACGATTTGATCACAAGATACTCCTCATTCAGTAGATTAATTAGGATAACTGCTTTATGTTTGAGATTTATAAATAACTGTAAAGCAAACCCAGAGTTGAGAACAGACTTCATATGTGCTTCTGAGTTAAGACATGCTACTGAAGTTTTAGTAAAACTCGTAGAGTCAACTGAATTTCAAAGGGAAATAAAGTGCCTGAAAAATGGACAGTCTATTCCAAAAAATAGTAAAATATCATCTCTGAACGTATTTCTTGACAAAAATGAGGTACTGAGAGTAGGAGGAAGACTGGAGTATTCCGAGATTTCTGAATTTCAGAAATATCAGATACTCTTGCCAAAGGCTCACCATTTCACTAATTTAGTCATTGAATATTATCATAGAAAATCCTTACATTCTGGCGTACAGACTACATTATCTTTAATAAGACAGTCATATTGGATACCGTCTCGTCAAGATCGAGTTAGAAGAGTAATAAATAAGTGCATGACTTGCTTTAGAACGAAGAATCAAACGGTAAGCCAGATGATGGGTAATCTACCTAGGGACAGAGTCGTGCCTTCTAGACCCTTCGAGAAGGTCGGATTAGATTTCGCAGGACCTATAATCACAAAACCTAATTTGAAAAGGTCAAAGGTGACTTTAAATTCTTATATTGCATTATTTATCTGTTTTTGCACTAAAGCAGTGCATTTAGAAGTCGTTTCTGAGTTAACAACAGACGCTTTTCTAGCCTGTTTACGACGATTTATTGCCAGAAGATCCAAACCAGCCGTTATCTGGAGCGATAACGCCACGAATTTCAAAGGTGCGAGAAATATTCTTAACGCATGTAATGATATTTGCAAATCTAACCCATTTCAAGGATTTAGTGTAGAAGAAGGCATCCAATGGAAATTTATCCCACCAGCTTCTCCTCACTTTGGCGGACTGTGGGAAGCAAACATAAAATCTGTGAAACGGATTTTGTTAAGGGTAGCGAAATCAGCTATCATGAATTTTGAAGCGTTAACTACTTTAGTTACTCAGATAGAAGCAGTTCTGAATTCCCGTCCATTATCACCACTTTCTTCCGATCCGAATGACGTACAGCCTTTAACTATGGGACATTTTTTAACAGGAAATGCTATGTTATCCGTTCCTGAACCACATACTGCTTCGGATTCTTTTTCTTTTCATTCCAGGTAGGAACTACTTCAGAGACTCCAAACTAAATTCTGGAAGAGGTGGCATTCCGAGTATCTAAATCAACTACAGAATCGTGCCAAATGGAGCAGTTCGCAACCAAACATGCAGATTGGTGAACTAGTACTGCTGAAGGACTCCAACCCCAATCCTTTCCATTGACCACTAGGTCACATCCAACAAGTGTATCCTGGTGCTGATGGTATGGTCAAAGTAGTTGAAGTTAAAACCTCTACAGGTGTTCTTCGGCGAGCCATCAGCAAAATTATTCCTCTACCATTTAAAGAATGAATGAACTTGAAAAACTTTTTTTTTTATATTTAATAGTTTACCAATTTAATATTTAGTTTAGTGCAATTTTAGTGTGACTTTAAATTTATTTGAATATCTGGAAACTGAAATATAAACTCCATGGGAGTTTAAGCGGGGAGAATGGTAAGACCCGCCTAACGCTAGAGGGCGCTGAGAGCGCCATTGAGTGTGTGCTGAGATTCGATGCAGTTGCTCGATGGAAGGTGTGACGTAGTTGGAAGATTCTGAGATTGAGATATATTATATTTAATTAAATCAATTGATATTTTATTGATTGGTGATTATTGAATTTGATTTATTGATATGAGGTATAATGTTTTGCTGAACCACCACACTTTCGACAAACTTGGATTACCACTGAACCTCAAAACCACCGATGCGCATTTGTAATAAATGTTTTTTTTTTTTTTTTTTTTTTTTTTTTTTTTTTTTTTTATGTAAAAATTTTTTTTAGTGTATCGTATTCATGAACTCGGAAAAGGATATTTTTTAAATGCGGAACAAGTTTAAAAGTTTAAAGAATCTTAAATCTGGAAAGGTTCTCAATTCTTAAATTTCTCAAATCCTCATAAGAAGAAAATCAAACTGTTAAGAGGTTTTAATTAAAGCAAAATCATAAATCTGCAGTTAATTATGAATATATGCTTACAAATATGGATGTTTAGCAGTTTGCCATGAAAAGCTTTTCTAGCATATCCTGCTATTTGATTCCTCCATTTATATAATGTTAGACTTATTCATAACAAAATATAGTATTTCAGATTTTGTCACTATTATTTTCAACATGCGGTATAACTTAAAGTTTAAATCAAGCGCCATGGCTAATTTTTCTGCCAGATATGTTTTATTTAGTAGAACCAAGCAGCAGGTGAGGTTAACATAGAAACGAAGATACGCAGGCATTGGATCCACCTACGAACTTACGGAAAATTTCAGTTTCCTAAATTTTGCTGTTGCTGCAGTTATTTTTTTCACTACATTTTATTTAATTACTTCAGAATATAATATTATCCATATTCAGTAAGAGATGAATTCAGTAAAAAATTTTACCCACATCAGTAAAAATTCCAAATGCATTTTCTATTTGTGAGTATAGGTTGCATATTTTTGTAAACGTGTGCAGCTTATGCCCATGAGAATGCGGTAGTATTACACCTTCATTTATTCTGCCTTCCATATACCCACTAAGTTTTATATGAAATCAGCGGAGTAACTAGAGGGACAAGGGGGGACAGGAGTCGATGGGCGCCAAATTGATGTTCCCTATTGCATTTTGATAATCGGGAGGGGGAGCGAAATCTTCAGTTTTCCCCCGGCACTGAAAACTTGAGTTACGCCTTTCATGTCCTAATTCCCAACATAATAATATTTCGGTGTTATTAATTTATCCTTACTTGTGCGGATGTGTTCTCTTTTTCCTTTCCTTCTTAATGATCAATTCTGTTTTAATAGGACTAATGCATATTATAATTTTTATTTGAAATACTTTGAATTAAATTTTTTCATACAACACTTTTATAAAAAAGGTAAAAAAAAAAAAAAAAAAAAAAAAGTCAAAAGTATAAGTAACTACTGCATAATTCAGGAATTAATGCTATGCAAAATGCATCTTTATTCTGTATAACGTAATTGAAAAGAATTGAGATAATGCATATGTTTTGAATAATTGTTCGTAGATCAGAGGTTTCAGTCTAAGAAAGGAATCAAATAGGTATGTGGTCAGATTGTAATAAATTTATTTCACTTGATGCCTTTTACTAAAACATGCAAGAAAACATTTTATACGTGTACACTGCAGTGAATATTTGAAGTAAGTTGTTCCTTATCCAACAAAAGATATTTAAAACCTTTAGTTCTGTTCTGTGTTTCGGAAAAAAAAAAAAATTTAAACTGTGATTTTCAGAAATTTCCTTTGACGTATGTAGCTTTTTTTAAGATTTTTAGTTAATATCTCTGATAATTTTGTTGCATAGAAAGATCCTGCTTTATGCTATTCAGTTACGATAAATATTTATCTCTTTGGCAAATTTCTTTTCTATTGGGGCAATGATAATGAGAGCATACAAGTGTTCAACATTCTTGCTAGTGGCAATGAATGTTTTGTATCACTGGCTGTCTTGTTATTACATTAAGCTTGCTTGTTATTTAAGATACTGAAACTTAGCTGCTGAGTACACATCTGCTTTGTTATGGAGCTTTCAGATGAGGGCTCAGACATCACATTTTTCATCGTCACAAGGCACAAAAGTGCTTCTCTTTATTCATACCTACAGATCTTCAGCTTCAGTAAGTTATGTCTTAACTTATACTTTACTCTGATTGGTAGGTTCTTATATCATCCCATCATAAATGTGAAAAGTTAGAACAGTTAAGCAAAATCCTTATATGAGTTGCTGTGACGCAAGAAGGACTAGTTGCCTAGCAACGAAATTCAAGTTCCACTTATGCTGCTTGTGATCGTTAAACGTTATGTGAACGCTCCCTGATGGGCTGTGTGGTATGAAGTGAGAACCCCTCTGTTGGCAAGTTTCTGCGTGGTGGAGGAACTGCAACGTTCCCAGGACGGGAAGCGGCTAACTGACCAAGATCTTGGTTGTACATTTGACATCACACTCACAAAGCTGTACTCGGTAGTATCTAGGCTCTGTCCTGCCTGGAGATGCTCGTAATGGGGTCGTGTTGACGAGACAGGTTTGTGTGAGTGTCATATATACCAGTGACAGGACGTACTTTAATCTTGGTATCGGTTAATTCCATGGTATTGGTATGATGTGACGAATCACTTGGATAATATCTATGATTTCTAAGCGGGTGGTTCACAGTTGATACTGATGCTACACTAAAAGTTTTGAATGGGTATATTCCTTTGCAGCATACAATACGATGAACTTAGCCCGAAACAGAGTCTGTTCACTAGGAGAAGATATTTGACCAAATTTGAAAAATCCAGCATTTGGCTTTGGATGAATCCGGCATCTTATATTAGGTAAAGGAACATCTTATATTAGGTAAAGGTTTATGCTGTATAAAAATGGAACTTGGATTCACTCATCTGCAACCTTGAGTGGGTTTTATGTTTCTCTCTCTAGAGTAAAATGAACTCCTTTCCTAACATATGAGGTCAAGTATTTTGTCTTATTTGATAAATTATACATTATTCTGAGAACGAAGTCTTTGTAAGTTTTTAAGTTTAAACTTAATCTACGCTTAACTTGCACACATTTCACCTTTCTAAGCTACAAATGAATTATCATCTTGCCTTTAACTTATAATCCAAGAATGAAATTTAAATATAACAATAATGAAATAAAAAAAAATTTATTACTAGCTCGTAATTACAACAAGAATTTGACGAAACATTAATCATCGCTTCTTGCGGGATGCTTGGAATACTAAATTAAATATGTACAAAAGTGAAATAGTAAATAAAATATCTTTTTACCAGATTATCTATCATTAAGAGTCCTCATTTGTTTCCTCATATTCAAATGAATAAACAAACACTCTACCATGCAATCTCTCTGAAATATCACCTTACATAGTCTTCATTGAAGGTTACTTTCGAGCTTATTTCTAAATAAAAAATAAATTTAAATAGGGATGGAGCTATCAAAGGAAACTGTATATCCTTTTTAACTATATCATTGCAAACTGGAAAACAGATGACTTCATTATTTTACTATTTTGACCATTTGTTTAAGTCCTTCTGAGATGGAGTAACGTTACGGTGAGCCAGAAGGACCAGTGGAGGTAGAAAACAGTGCATCCATTAGTAGAGATTTGAGCTGAAAAAAAGAAATCCGTTTTCAGTGACATTATAGTATACATAATATCAATTGATAATATAAAATACCCATCGAATTCTTAAAATTTAATTTCTTAAATAGCAATATAATTTTATGAGAATAAGGTACTTCCGTGTTAGCTCTTCGACAGTGAGTTAACATGGAAGCAGCTTGATGTACCAAGCAGTGTGATGTACCGCTAATTATTGATATCTGTGACGATTTGACACCAGTTAAGGATATCCGTGAAAATTATGGATTATCTGTGACGATCCTGAGTCTTGAAATCCAGCATTTGTTTTTGTAAACAAAAATATAAATTCAGTGCTGTTACTGAATTTCTTTTTCTGCATTTAAAAAAAAATTAAGATTTGTGACCTGTCTTCTACAGAACAGAAAGCAGTAGATTTATGGTAGGATTTCCATAAAAATAAATGGTGCGTATTAATGTACATTATATGATAGTTTATTGAAATATGAATAAACAATTTCGAGGCAACACGAAAATTTGTGATGAGAGAATATCTATTCAAAAAAGGAATATGGTTCGAGGGAGGTAGAATCACATTTGTGATGTGCGGCCCACCAGCGGCCGAGCGGTAAAGACGCTGAACACTGGTAGTTCGGTCTGAGGTTCGAATCCCGCGAACGGGCTGGCTGCATGGGCGTTTTCGTGGTTTTCCCCATGTGTAACGTGTATACGAGCCAGTTTTCCCTTAGAAAGTCCTCCACGAAAGGCATCCCTCCCTTTTAGGCAGATAGCCCTCGTGTGCTTTGCCATAATTAAATACACCAACACCATTTGTGATGTGCTCCAGTTCATCTGCAGCTGCTTCAGAGAATTAACGTCTCTTAAATATTGAAAGAACAGCTAGCTATATCTGATTTTATAACAGATTGGAATCACTATCTAATCGGAGTTTCTACTCAACATTCTAAACAAAGCTTTCGGTAAAATCAGAAGGATTAACAAAATAGTACAAACTAACGAAATACTTTTTACGAAGCCGATCAAATTCCTCCGAAGCAGCAGCTGTTTGGTGGATTGTGCAGATACGTTGTTTTATTGCAAGAGTTGCAGATAGAAATATGGCGGCTCAAAAATCCGCAAGAATGATCGTACAGCTTTGAAGTATATTCACTAACTTTCACTGCCGACGGGATAGTGCATAAGTACCAAAAATAACTATAAAAAATTAAATTTCAGTAAATTATATTAACTTCTTAATCATAACCAGTTTATTACAGCTGACGTAAGATAACAATGTTCATCAAAACCGGGAGAATGGCAGCTAGCTTCCACGTCAGTAAGGAGGCATCACTTATAATACTTCTCGATTTATCCTCGAATATATGTGGCAGTGAGTGGATTAAAGAATCACTAATTATTTAACAATATATGAACGTATTTTAAACCGGAAGAATTCGCTGAGATGAGGAAATATAAGAATATGATTATAATTGGAACATATTTTTATTTCAGAATTTTATAATTAAACTGCTGTGCACTTTTACCCTATATCTAGCTGAAAACGTTTTTTATTTCTAAAATATGTTGGAATAATACAGAGCCGTTTACTGCATAATATTATTTTTTAGCTATGCTGAATTCCATTCAGTGTGCTGAAAAATTAATTGTGAAGAAGAAAACATCTCATTAATAAGAGTTTGGTAAATGTTTAGAAAGGAATTTTTTGCCTTCAGGTTTTCAGGCATCTCTATGTGTCACAACAGTCACAAAATATCAACTAAATCATCGCTGAACAAAGAATTCTTCAAGACTTTCTAACTGCTAGCTGGATATACTGACCGCTCCCTCCATGAGAAACATATTGGAGATTTAGGTTACTTGAATATGGCAAAGCCACGAGACTTAGCTGCCTAAGAGGAGGACTTTTTGAGGGAGCTGGCTCCTATTCACGTTACACATGGAGAAAACCACGAAACCTAACCATGCAGCAAGCCCGACATCGAGCCCAAAGCACGCACGCAGAACTATCATTACACAGCGTTCTTAACCACTTAGTCCTTGGTGGGTTAACATATGGGAGAATTTCTCTTAATCCTTAAAACATGTCTTCTTAAACCTTAAAAGATGTCCGCTTGTCAAACAAATGTTAACTGAATACTACAACTTAGGATGAATTTGTAAGTTATGACTGATTGTTTGGTTAATTATGACTAAGCAGTCACGAATTATTTGCAGTGAAGAAATTTTTAAAGGAAATTATTTCATGTTTACAAGAGAAAACGTCCAAAAACCATGCGTAAGTAGTCCATTCCTGCCAAAAATTGGAACTGCAATTAGCCATCAGTTTTTATGGCCTAGGAGATATTTGCAATCTTATTTTACATTCTTTACTTAGTTTTATTCAGTACAAAGTCCGAGATCCTGAATCATTGTGATTTTGGCAATATCGGATTTTAGATCAAGATGACATGTAGACATTGCAACATTGCGGCTTCGTTTATTATTTATATCAGATAAAACAATTCTACTCCCCGCCCCCCAACAAAGCTGGCGCAGCGGCACTGAGTGATAGAATTCAGCGGCGGCAGAAGACCATGGAGCAGCAAAAATTAGGGATTGCAAAATTTTTAGAATTTGCTAGAGGGAAAGGGAAGCAGAATTTATAGACGGTAAAATATTTATAATTTAGATACTGGACAGCAGAATTTAGTACTGCACAGATTACATGGGGTAGCAAATGCGTATCGCCGGCCCTGTGCCCCCCTCAACCACTCAACATCCGAAAAACGGGATCCTGGTTATCATCAGTACAATGCCAGTCAATTTACTGTTATGACCACAGTGCAACTCCCTAGCCAACAAGGGTTTAAAAGTGACATGTAGGAATCTCAGTAAGTCAGAGATATCATATTTACGGCACACCTGTTTCTTTTGGTTCAGCATTTTATTTATTTATTTTTGGCTAAATTATTATCAATTTTTGGTTAATTAAAGTTTTTATAATACGATCATTGTTTGTCTTAATAACATGTTTTCTCCTGATTGTATGAATAAATTAGGCAAATTTTAAAACTGTAGTACTTACTTTGCTTTGCTGCTTCTCGGTGCTGGTGCTTATGCTGTTTAGCAATAATTACGTTTTCTGAAAAGTAAAATGGTACCTGAATATGTAAAGTAAAACATTATGAATACTAGTCTGCATTTAAATCATGAAATACATTTTCTCAAGCGCTAAAATTTATTCTTATTCGGAAAATGTTATAAAATACAGATTAAAAAAAAAAGAGTTTTCATAAATAATAAAAAATGAAATGGTCTTTCGTCACTGATGATGGATTGGATTTCCTAAATTTTCTAAAAACGCTTTCAATCGAAATGTAACAGTTATGAAGTTAAAACAAAATTAATTTATACAGAATAACATCAGACAAATATTAAATTGCATTTGTAATCTGATTTTTTAAATCATATTTCATTAGTGAAGAACTTATTTGCCTCGTTGTTTTGTTTGGTTTTATTTTAACTGTCCGATTTATCTCCCTTTATGCCTTTTCATTATGCTGACCCTAGACTTTTGTACTTCCAGAAGGTGATTCCACGTGATGGGATAATAATGCCTTTTATTTTAAAGTATAATTATTTCTCGAGAAGTCACTTATGAGTACACAAAAGGTACTTTGAACCTCATTTAATGGCTTAACTTCGTTTCATTCAACTTATATTAATGCTAATAGATATAGCAAAGCATTTATGATTGTACACTTTTTGCATTTATGAACATAACATTTTAAAGCAATTTTGATTACCTTGTATGCTGTAAGGTAAGTTAATACTGAAACTGATATTGGTAAAACAAGCTTTTCCCCACAAAATCAAAGAGGAGGACACTTATTAATCTTAGATGGCAATGGAAAGCTGGATGGCTCTAAGAATTCTAAACAACAAAGCAGTTTTTCGGTCATCAAGATTTAAAAGTTGCAACGTAAACTTCCCTAGTTTTTAAACTCTGTTGTGAGTGCTTTAATTTGCATAATCTTCTTGTCTGAATGAATACAGAAGGTCGTTCGCACTTTATGGAAACGATTTTGATAATTAATTTTTATGCATAGAAGGTGTATTTCTTGCGGCTGTCTTCTACCTGATAGTCCTGATTCTTATGTTGTAACCCTAACAAGAATTTTCCATGAAAATAAACTTTATCTTATTAGCGCCGCTATGTCAGTTTCACCCCACTCCTCTTAAGTCGTTTCTACAGTTCGTTCTGTGCTCATAGAAGCCGTTTTCTCAAGGCTCGTTTTAACAGACCGAAAGCGCAAAATTCCATAGGAGAAGCGCCAGGTGATTTCACAGGTATTTCACTAAAATGAATATATTTTATTCCTGTTTCTGCTACTTTCTTTGCTAAATAAGCAGCAGTTGACTTAAATGCGTAACAAGAGGTTTTTTCCGTATAATGTCCTTTCCATATGGATGGATATTATGGATGTCCTTTTCATATCAGGCTGGCATTCCTTCTTCAAACAGTGGTTCTAAAATATTATGCTGATACTAAAGTGAATTGATTTTAGCTTTACTTGAGACCTTTTTGAATTTTAATTCACCCTTTAAACAACTGCAGTTATCATTAATCTCGTTGGGAACTTTTGTGTACATTGACGAAGCCATTTTCGTACATTCAGTTTCATCAGCTGAACAACAGCAAATTCATCTTTTTTATTATAACATGCCCATACCTCATCGAATGCTACCACAAATTTCCACTTATCGGCAATCAAGCAGTTTTCATAAAATTTTCTACAATTTGTTTTTCTTTCCGTAATATACTGTAGCAAAAACACATGAACTTTAGGTTTAAACATTTTTTTTTCCAACTTCAGATCTTTAGGAATGATATTACTTACAATGTCAGAAGACATTTACAGTTCCTATACAATGGATCTTTGAGTCGGTGGATTTCCTTTCAAAATCAAAAACTTCACTTTCATGATATTTACCTGGGTTCGAATAGTCTTAGGCTATGGTTTTTCAGCCTTACAATTTTTTTATATGAATGTTTTTCCTTGAAAAATACATTTCGAACTTCTTCGAATCATTTTCAGTTATCTTTGAACTATCTATCAGTTTCAGGATCCATTTCCAAAATAAATCTTTTACCGTACATTCCAGTCAAAACAAAATAGTAGCAGACGATTGTACTGAAAATGCCAAATCTTTATGTCAAATTCTAAAGGGGAATTTAAATAGAAAATCGTTTCTATAAATTGGGAATGACCTTCAGTATACGTGATTTGAGTTAAAGATAAGAGAAGCTAATGTTTACTCAAATGTTATTAAAAATTGATATGCTCTCACTGCTTGTATCTATAGGTACTACATGACCAACAGCTTCTTTTCTCATTCCTTGCGCGATTTTTAGCCTTGCCCAAATGAACATCATATGTCGTTTTCACACACAAGTACAATCTATAATTTTTCTAAACATCATGACATATGGAGAATTCGAAATGCGTAAATTGTGAGCTGGATGTTCAGTATTAAATAAAAAAGAAAATAATCCTATGATAAAATTCGGATATTCTAAACATCACGCATATTTTTCTGTAGCCATCTCGCCTTTAATCGGAATAAAGAAATTCTTTACTATTGATCCTTTTTTTTAATTTACTTGTTTTCTAGAAATTATTCGAATACTTTTTTTTTGTAAAAGTCATAAAGAACAGTTTTTTTTTTTTTTTTTTTTTTTTTTTTTGTAAAAGAAATAGTTTATTCAAACAGTTCTGAAAACTTGCATAAGTATCCGGTTACTTTGAACATACAGTGGATATTTAATGAAAACGCGAAAATAAGAGTAACGGGACGACATGCATTGCTTTGATAAACATCCTTTAATTAAAATTGCATTTTTCACCCGGCTAGGCAATTTTTTCGAATAAGAACATTCCATTTTGTTTCGTAAGAAATTTTGTTGCGTAAGAGTTCCGTAAGAAATGCTTTTAATAAAGGTTTCGAAAAAATGTCATGTTTATTCTTTTCTCCAACTCCCTGCATGCTCGATCGACGTCCGAAGAATATGAAAAAGGTTTTAATATTTGAGGACAGCTGTATAGCTTATGGTTACATACGCTAACACGCTAACATTTAAAGCTATATATTTAGGATTCTTATCTTGATAGAACTTGAACGCCTTCTGCATTTTTCTTGCAAATGCTTTCGGATTTTCACTAAGAATATTTGTATATTTATATTGACCCATTTTATTTCCTATGAAAAGGAAATCTCCCGTCTCAGAAGCAGCAAAATGTATTGTAACTATTTTGCTTCTGCTATTTTGCATACTTAACGGTTAGGTAATAGATTTTTCGAATTAATTTCCTCATTTATGGCTTCCCAAAGCGTCAAGTATATTTTCACTGCTTTCTTTTTGACGATATCTTCGTCCACTGCATCCATGTTCTTGGCTGCTTGATGCATTGATGGAAATTTTTTTTAAATATATTTGGCCTAAAATTTCTTAACTTAATTTTTAAATGATTTCATTCAAAAATATTCAATCAGTCACTTGTTTTCCACTGTAAATTATTAGCTTGACTAAAAGCCTACTTTCTATTGGGTAAGAAGAGGGAAAAGCCAATAATGCTGGTTTCGGTAACAATTTTAATTTTGAGATACTTCTGCTGGATGATGTTTAAATTCCAAAACTTAGGGTACCCATGTATTTTGATTAAGACTTAAATTTTGTAGGAAACAGCCCTACATCAGTAAACAATTAATTAGCAATTTTATTATTATTATTTATAATAAATGGGTTTTGATTATACCGATCTCTTATTTCGTGTGCAAATATTTGGCTACCGACTCTTTGATCATCAGTGACTCCCTTTGAAACTTCATTTAGCCCTAGGAGTCAATATCGACTCCATTGGGAACCCCAGCTCTAGAGGAAAAGAGATTTCGTTAAGGGCTTTGTAAGGTAACTTGGTTATAACAGGATGATCAGAAAGTAATGCAGGATTTTGGCTTAAAAAAAAAAAAGAGTGTATGAAAGTACAGAAAAATGCATTGGCATCCGAAATTTTTTACTGATTTTTATGACTTTGACACCATGCCTTATGTTTGCCAACTCCACGAAATTAACATTTCAGTAAATTAATCATAGATAAATTGTAACACATGACTAGATGCTTAGTAAGAAAAACAATTTTTTTGATATACTTAGATACTATAAGGATTAACAACTTAAATACTATGCGAATGTAAAGGATGGTGTAAGACATCCCGAGGCGGAATTTTAATTTTGGCGACAGACCTAGAAATGGATGACAGAGGGAGGTAGAAAACATAGAATTTATGACATTATTAGAGTTAAATGCTTGTATCATCTGTAGAGAAATACTGCAGATACTTTAATATGCTCAGTCAACAGCAATAAATTACTTGAAATGAATTGGGAATTTTTTTTTTTTCCTGCTTATGTTTGTGTGCCACGTAAACTCCAAATTAAAAACCGCCATTTTCACTTCTTTGCTCACAATAAATGAATCGGATTCTTTTTTAAAGCATATTGTGACGAGGGATGCAAAATATTTTCTTCATACGTATATTACTCGAGGGAAAAAAAGAGTGATTTCCCCTAAATATGATAAATTTCACATAAAAAAGTATTCCGCTTCTAAAGAGAGTTTTGCTTTTTTGCGCATGTGGAAAGCATGGTTTAACTTGAATCGTTAAAAAATAAACAAACCATTAACTCAGGCATCTATTGTCATCGTAGGTAGTTTGAAATAGGCTTTAACCACTAAGCGACCTGCACTGACTTATGAACAGATATGATCAACGGAATGATGCAAAATCAGGTACTGTAAGAGTGACTCGAACCAATGGAAGATTCTTACTCAGCTGCTTAAGAGTTCAGTTATTGTCCACTGCATTTATTACCTGAGTAGATCAGTACAGAACCTTCTTCTTGACAACGCCTTACATAAATATGCATAATATTTGATAACATAATAAATAAAAATTTTAGAAAAAAAAAAAAAAAAAAAAAAAAACCCTAAAGAATTCTTTGCTTAAAAAAAAATGCACTGAAGTCATAGAAGTGATTGATACAATGTTAAAAGTTAAATTTAAACAGGAAAAAGAAAGGTTTTCTGGTTTAAAGCTGCTTTTATGTCATTTCCGATCACCCTAAAAAGTGTGGTACCAGTGAAAAATGGCCCACCAGCGGCCGAGCGGTAAAATCGCTGAACACTGGTAGTTCGGTCCGAGGTTTGAATCCCGCGAACGGGCTGGCTGCATAGGCGTTTTCGTGGTTTTCCCCATGTGTAACGTGTATACGAGCCAGTTTCCCTTAGAAAGTCCTCCACGAAGGCATCCCTCCCCTTAGGCAGATAGCCCTCGTGTGCTTTGCCATAATTAAATACACACACACACACACACACCAGTGAAAAATGCAATCATCTCATACTATAGATAAGAATCAACTCATTTATAAAACTGATGGTATTCATGGCGTTAACTACTTAATCAGTGATAAACGCGACTAATAATTTTTCAAAATTTGACAAATACAAGCAGCCATACTTTTTTTAATACGTACCTTTGTTTTCGTTATTATCAAAGGAGAACTGCTCTCGGATTAACTTATCGTGACTCATATAGGATACGTTACTAAAGGAGCCAAGGCATTCCAGTTTTAGGGTTTGATTAACGAAATGTTCGCTTTTAACTACGAACCTCAAACTCCTGCTTGCTGTCAATAGGCCGTTCTTGTGTAAACTGGTCGAATATTCTGTTCGGTAGCCCTTCCCTATCTGGAAAAGTAAAAGTATACATTTCAATGCAGTGCATCGACATTTGTGAGAATTTTCTTTCGAATTTCATTTCATGTTTCATGAATCAAATGCTAATTAAATTAAAACTTGAAATATTAGAGAGCTTTTTAAGTATGAAAAAAACATGAACATATTTTTTTTAAGAAATTGAAGTTTGTAAAGTTGAAATGCCATATCGTTCATGGACCGCAATTCTGGCACAGCTCGAAAAATGAAGTTTTGAAATTAACGTGTTTCTTGGTTTTCAAATGCAGGAATCGCGCGCTTAAGATAGATTACAGAATAATTATTTTACTAAAAGGCTTCATAGGAGTTCTGTTAATAATAATAATTATAAAATACTATTAAGTTAGCCTTGTTTAATAAAAAATTTAGAAACAAGAAATTATGTTTTATTAACGTGTAAAGTTGCGCGCTTCCAACCTGCACACAACAAAGTGGTGACCGCTGAGAACTGGAAATAGACCAAAGTCTTGAGAAGGGTTTAAATCCCTTTTTATTCAACTTTAGAAATTACAAATGCGTGCTCTTGACGCTCACAAACTACGCCGACCCGGCGGTAAAATAAAAATAAGAAACTGAAGAGAGATAATAACAAGTGACTAACTACGAGGCTCTCTAAACGTAACTAACCTCACCGCGTTCTAAAATACCGCTGATAATTCAGCAAACTCTGAATATTATGTTGAAAGTTTAACAATTTGCCGAGGCACGCACACAGGCTGAAACGCGTGGTTCTTCAATTTCTAATTAGCCACCTCCACACTCGTGAAGCAAGAAAGCACCCTTTCGAACTCGTTTCCTTTCTATTTAACTCAGAATACTTCCGCTGATAATTTGAATCCTTGCGCGTTCTACTAAAATTTACATACTCTGGCATTGGCAATTCCAGCGGAAAGTAAGGCTTGACAGGAAAGATAGTTTAAACTTAAAATAAATGTTAGTTAAAATAAATGCAAACCTTACAAACGTTACCACATTATTACAAGCGCTGAAAATTTGTAAAATGGCATTCTTTACATTTGAATACTACATCGTCAATCAATATACAAAATTAAAAAAAAAAAAAAAAAATAGAATTTCCCTAGACTAACCTATTATTTACTTTTCAAAATAGACCTCATATTTATGTTTCAAATTTTAGATTGCTGTAAAAGGCTGAGTAACATATCTGGCTATTAAATTCGTAGATTGACGAATTTCTTCTTAGATACTGAAAGAGGCTTCTTGGAAGCTTTTTTTTAGCATTGCTACCTGAAAGGATTGCAGACTTTTCCTGCGTCTGGAGGCTTTTACATCGACAGTTTTAAAATCTGTTTCTGTAAAATAAGTTTTTATGGCAGAAGTAATCCAATGATTGTTGTTCTACTTTCAGTATAAAAATACGCCGTTGTAGTTGTACGGTGTCATTGTTACTATTTACAATAAACTTTTGACACCTCATCTATGGTCCTGATGGCGTTCATGCAGAGTTTATTAAACATTAAGATACAGAGGCCTTGCCCAAGTAGCACATGATGTAGCAAAGACGTTGCAAACTGGTCTAAGAGGTTGCAAAGTGATCGTGGTAACTTTTACGACGTCTTTTCAGGCGCCTTTTTTTTTTTCGTATGTGCATTCTATTTCGTAAAGTCGCCCGTTGTAGTGTACGGTGTCATTGTTACTATTTACAATAAACTTTTGACATCTCATCTATGGCAGCCTTTATATCAGTAAAGTCGTCATATTCCATTTCCGAAAGTTTGAAAAGGTTACCTTGTTTCTTTGCCATTCTTATTCAAAAGTCATACTGAGATGGAACATAGATGAGGAATGATTTCAATGATTGGTTTACATTTTCAATTAAAGAGTAAGCACAATTTTGTTCACTTTCTGCGTGAAATTTATATGTTACGTTTTGAATTTCTAAATATACTACAGCACCACAACGTACAAGTAATGGGCAACCTGAGCATCTAATGCAAACTGAAATGTGTCAGTACTGCAGTCAATGTTCTCGAGAAAACCAAAGAATGCAACAGAGGAATTATTGCCATCTGTTAGTGCGTTAGTGAACTAAGGTATGTGGCAGCTCTGCAGCCATGAAGATGATTTTAAAATGTTGGGAAAGGTCAGAGCATTGCGGCCTACGAAAGATTTTATGGACTTCTTTTGCATTCAAATAAATTGTAAGCTTTATTTGATTCTTTAGAGCACGAGTTTCGAACCATTTTCTTGCTCCCACCCCCAGCCCTAAAAAGATTTAATTTGTTCTCGCATACTCTAAAGCAATTTCTAATAAAATAGAAGAAAAAAAAAATAAATAAAATCTGAAAACTTTCAGATTCTACATTACGCCCAAAGGGGCATTTTTTAACGTTTTGTGTGTTACCTTTATTGATAAAATATCATTTTCCTCGCACTTAAACCATGAAATTCAATTCAACGGAAATATCGCAAAATAATTTTAAAATGAGCATATTTTTAGAATATCCTATACACAGTCTCGCGCGCTGGAGATAAAAATATTTTTCCCAGTACAGTGTTGCTATTGCTCGTTTTGAAATCGTTGAGTTTTTTAATCAAAAATTTGTTAAAAGTGTTGCAAAATATGAAATCGATTATAAAACAAATTCCAAATTAGGGCTTCAGGTACCCATAATCGGTGGAGGATTAAGCTATTCAAAATTTGATGGCTCTAGGTATCGTTGTTTTATCATAGTGCGAAAAAACATACGTGCATTTATGCAGGTTCCTCATTATTTAATTTCATTAAATATAACACGCGGCGATAATATTTGGTGCCAACAATTTGAAAAGTGAACCAACATTTAAAGTTTTCAACGCAAAACACTGAAATGAAATTAATTGCCCTTCTGGACTAAGCCCCTTTGGGCTAATAAAATTGTAAGCCCATATTTTTATAATAAACAAAAGATGAATCAAGGAAATAAAAAAATATATATAAAAGAACGTTTGCATAAATCTTAAACAAAAATGTTAAAATAAAGTGATTTCTGAATTTTATTTTGATTGACAATAGGGCACTAAATTCAGACTCACGTAATTATGACATAGAATGAGCACAATTGGTGCCTTTTCACTAAGTTCTGGGAATATATTCATTGTTAAACATGAGTATTATTCCAAATTATTGCTTTCAAACTGCATTTCAAGAGCACGATTTGTCGCACCTTTGTAATATTTTCGTCATCAGACGTAATATCCAAATTGAAAGAGTATAGATTTCTAATTCCTATTTCTGAAGTTTGCAGTTGTCCTTCATTAAAATCAAATGACTTTAAAATTTCCAATGATGTTCAAAAATTAAGAAGAGTCCTGATCCTGATGGCGTTCATGCAGAGTTTATTCAATATTAAGATACAGATGCCTTGGAATTCCCTCTTAACACTTTATAATCTCTCTTGGAATTCTTACGTTTCAGCAGCCTGGCGGAAATTTATTTCCGATAGCAAAGAAAGATAAGCCACTACAATGTCCAGATAGTTACAGACGAATTTCACTAAACTTCATTATGGCTAAGATAATGGAGAGAATGTTCAATGACAGATTTGTTTTTTATTTAGAACCTCAAGACCTTTTACTATGTATTTAAAGTGGGCTTAAAATTCCTTAATCTACTAGTTAACAGGTCATAAGACTGTCACAAGTAATTAAAGATCGTTTGAATAGAAGTTAAAATTTAGTGGCAGTTTTTATTGATTTCAGAGCTACATACGATAGTATTTGGAAAATTAAATTTATTTATAAATAAAAAACACTAGGAATCGGTGACAAAATGCTCCGATGGACAAAGAATGTCATTATTCAAAGATTCTATGCAGTTCGGCATGGATCGGAAACCTCTGGTTACATTGTGGTTTATCGCAGGCAGACATGATAATAACAAATTCATTGTGGTTTATCGCAGGCAGCATAAGTCTTTTTCATGTATACGTTAATGATCTTTCTATCAGAATTAATAAAATAAAGGACACTGAATCTGCTCTATATGCTGATGACTTTATTGTGGACTTCAGTACCTAGAAAATATATTGATAAAATAGTACATGGGATCAATCAGGCTCCGGAAGCATTATATGAATGGTCTACAGAAAGAAAATCAAATGGAAGTGAATATTGACAAAACCGTGTACCAAACATTTACTCTGAATCATCAACCAACTGAAATGAGCTTGAAATATAATAGTAGACGCATCCAGGAGACAAAGGAGGCTATTTATTTAGGAGTGAAATTTGACAAAATGCTCGCTTAGAGATGCATTGATAAAGTGATCGTTAGAGCTTGAAAAAGGTTAACGGTTGTAGGGTCATTAGGTTTCTTTTGAAGCAAGAGACGTGAAAAATGTGCAGTGCCCCCTACCATATAATTTATAAGCCATAAATCTGCTATCGTTGTGATTGCCTGTGGCAATACAAACATTTAAAAACTTCAAGCTTTTCGAAATTAGGCCCTGATGCTTTTTACTGGAGATGTGAAATTCACTCCAATACTTCAGGACAGAGATTTAATACTATATGAGATATTAATCAAACTGCCATCAACAGAGACATGGAGAAATTATGATACACTGGTTATCATAAATTAAGGAAAAATCACAAAAATCACGATTACTGAAAACGTTACATGTAGAATTTTATGAAACTTACCCACAATATACAACACATAGTAAGGTATCAAATGACATAAAAATAAATTACCAGACAATTATGGTAGTATAGAATTAGCACAGTAAAATGAACAAATCGAAGGTGTCAGTTTGCTATAGGAAAAGTACCTTCAATAGGGAAGATGGTCGCCTCTAGAAGCAATACAGTACATACAGTGATGCGTGATGCTTTCAATTATGCGGTCTATCAGATCCATAGGAAGCGAGAGCCATTGCTCTTGCAAAGCTGTTGCAAGCAAGGCAAGGGACTGAGGGGCCAGACTGAGAGAAGCTAGACG